TGTTACTCCTTTGTACTTGCAATATAGAAAATGATTGTCTCTCTCTTTCTCTCTATCTTTCAAGTGTCTCTCACTCCAGCGACACAAAAGGCCTTAGTACAAATGTTATAAAAGTATTATATAATTTTTTCTATGTAGCCATCAAAAAAGTACACCTGTGTCCAGTATAATATAGGAATTATGTATCAAAAAGGTGTTTATTTTTAACTCCCCTTTCACTCATACTGTGTATCATACTGAGCTCATACTGTGTATCATACTGAGTATTATACTGTGTATCATACTGAGTATCATACTGTGTATCATACTGAGTATCATACTGAGTATCATACTGTGCATTATAATGAACCCACACTATGTATCATACTGAGTATCGTGCCTAGTATCATACTGAGCTCATACTGTGTATCATACTGAGCTCATACTGTGTATCATACTGAGTATCATACTGTGTATCATACTGAGTATCATATTGTGCATTATAATGAACCCACACTATGTATCATACTGAGTATCGTGCCTAGTATCATACTGAGCTCATTCTGTAATACTGTGTATCATACCGAGTATCATACTATGTATATTACACTGAGCTCATACTCTGTATTATTCTGAATATCATACTAAGTATCATACTGAGCTCACACTGTGTATATTATACTCAGCTCATACAGTATTATAACGAGTATCATACAGAATATCATACTGAGCTTTCTCGCTTGGCTAGGAGTGGAGTGGTGGGAGTGTCCTCGCAGGCCGGGTGACTACCACACAAGGACCCGCGCTTACTCCTGGAGTTCTGGTACTCTACCGGAGGCGGGGGAGGCAGGAGACCCCCTTCTATCCCCACTGGGGGGAATTGGTGGGGATTGACGGTGGTAGTCTGGCGGCACTTTCTCCCCGGCGGGTGTGGCATGGCTCTGGGCAGCGTGGAGACCTGTACGTGCCGGCACTTGGCACTGTACGTCTCCGCCGTGTCGTAAGGCAAAGGGAAGCTAGAAGGGGTGTCCCCTATCTTGGTTCCTGCAGCAGGGGATGCCGTCCCTACCCCGCCGTAACGAGGGATAGCCTGGAGGGATAGAATGGGTTGCTGATCATTTAATGATAGTACAATGCATAGATAGAAAAAAATATAAAGGACTGTGTATACAATATATATACATGTATATATATATATATATATATATATATATATATATATATATATATATATATATATATATATATATATAATATATATATATAATATATATTATATATTATATATAATATATATATATATATATATATAATTGTATAGAGAGAGAGAGAGAGAGAGAATAGAAGATACTCACAGGAACGCGGGCGGGGATGGGAGCATACTGGTATCGGTCGGGCGGTAGCAGGATAGACGCCGCCGAATCGGTGTCGGGCGGTCTGCAGCCTTCCTGCAGCGGGATCACGTCAGGGTCAGCGTCGCTCTCAGACTCAACCTGGTGGGGAGGCAGGAGCTGTGACTCGACCTCCCCGCGCAAGCACAACTCGTGACACACACACACGCACACCACACACACACACACACACACCACACACACACACACACACACACACACACACACACACGCGCGCGCGCACACACACACACACACACAACACACACACACACACACACACACACACACGTCAGGCAGTATTTCGGCATCTTCAAAGTGTCCACAGAGTGGAACGATTTGAAGAATCAAGTGGTAGAGGCAAGATTCATGAACAGCTTCAAGAATACGTACGCTACTGATACCACTTAATAGACAGGAACATACACAGTAACTATAAACTGGCGAGCACATACAAAACAGGACCAAGAATTAGAGGCTGTTCACCACAAGTCCAAATATGTAATTAAAAATAGTTAAGTTTACCTCTAAATAAATTATAACAAAAAGGGAAAAAAAACTCGAGTTTCGTGTCACGAAATACAAATAAAAGTATTTTTAACTGCTGAAAGTAAACCTTTTTTTTTTTTTTCTTGTCCCATAAAAAGAATTTACTGAAACCTATTTTTCCCGCTACTGAAAAAAATAATCGTCCCAGAATTTTAATTTGCTTCAGTTGGAACCGTTAATGTAATGGAAATCTGATGACTTTAATGGGTGGGCAGTCATCCCTTAGACCATTACACAGCTGAATACTGGTCAATTAGATCTTGTCTAATGGGGGTTTGCATGCTGGTCATTTGCATATTGTCCATTCCCCCATCTGCCGTCTCGTGTGTAAAGGCAGTTACTGGCGATTGTTCTGATGGGCATCAAATTTCCCTGCCCTGGTGGGAAATCAGGTACACTGCTGAAAGTAATGTGTTAGAAGCTACTCACACTCATGTACTCAGGTAACGGAGACTTATTTAAACCATCTCTATCGTTAGTTAATTCGTCAAGGAAAAAACAGTCCCCTGGCATGAAGCTTTGTCAGAGGAGTCGTTAAATAACAAAAAGGCACAATACCGTGACTGGATCAATACACAAATAACCCGCACATAAAAGAGAGAAGCTTACGACGACGTTTCGGTCCGACTAGGACCATTGACAAAGTCACAGTGTGACTGTCAATGGTCCTAGTCGGACCGAAACGTCGTCGTAAGCTTCTCTCTTTTATGTGCGGGTTATTTGTGTAGAGGAGTCGTTCATTGTTGACGACTAACTCTAACGTCAGGTAAAGTTACCTTTTCAAAGTGAATGTTAGTTTGTGAATTGTTGCACCCAGGGTATTGTGACTTTGCAGGGTTAGTCGTGAATTGTTGCAGCTACGGTATTGTGACTGAGGGTTAATCGTGAATTGTAGCAGTTACGGTATTGTGACTTTGTGGGTTAGTCGTGAATTGTAGCAGTTACGGTATTGTGACTCTGTGGGTTAATCGTGAATTGTAGCAGTTACGGTATTGTGACTTTGTGGGTTAGTCGTGAATTGTAGCAGTTACGTTATTGTGACTTTGAGGGTTAATCGTGAATTGTAGCAGTTACGGTATTGTGACTTTGTGGGTTAGTCGTGAATTGTAGCAGTTACGGTATTGTGACTCTGTGGGTTAGTCGTGAATTGTAGCAGTTACGGTATTGTGACTCTGTGGGTTAATCGTGAATTGTAGCAGTTACGGTATTGTGACTTTGTGGGTTAGTCGTGAATTATAGCAGTTACGGTATTGTGACTTTATGGGTTAGTCGTAAATTATAGCAGCTACGGTATTGTGACTGTGAATTAGTTGTGAACTGTAGCAGCCACGGTATTATGACTTTGTGGGTTAGTTGTGAATTGTAGGATTGTGTGTACCTGTGTGTCTCGCTCGAGACAGCTGTGGCGGTGACTGAGTGAAGGAGACTTGGACAACTTCGGCGAGTCCTCTTCTGGTTCGGTCTCTTGGGTGGGTGTGTCCGGATGGCAGGGCGGGGGCGGCGGCGGGTGGCGGCAGTGAGGGTGGTGACCGCGGCGGGGTAGCCGCGTGCGGAACGTGATGAGGACGATGAGGACAATGATGATGATGACGAGGCCTGCCCCGACGCCCAGAGCGGCGGGCACTAGCGAAGGCATAGCCAGGACGCTCAGGTATTTATTGTTGCCGCTGCTGATGCTGCCGCCGCTGACGCCGCCGCCGCCGCTGCCGCCGCCACTGACGCCACTGCTGCTGCCGCCGATGGCGCTGCCGCCGCCGTTCTTGCCGCCGTCGCGAACTTCCGCTTCGGAAGGTCCGTCTGAGGGCAGGTAAAAAAGAATTTTCTCTAGGGATTTTCTCTCGCTTAACAAAAAATAGCAAAAATAAAATAACAGTGAAAAACTAAAATGAACATAGAAAACAATAGAAAATATATTTTTTAATACATATTTAACCTTCCAGAGCAACGTGAGGTTTTATATTTTGACGTTTTAATTCTCAGTTCTTGAAATTCCAACACATCGACACCATGCCCAGCCCTTCTAGGGTAGGGTAGGTGCCTGAGTCCGAGCCTTTAGCTCATAAGACTGTCATTCCCATTTGCCCCCTTGAGGCGGGGATGGCAGACCGGAGAGGCCTAGCTTGTGGCTAGGCCTGGGGACAGTTGGTCCCAAAGATGAGGAGGTACTTGTGCCTCCTCCCATGGGAGACTTAGGTCTCAGAAACTCCCTAAAGAGGGAGCCAAGGCCGGGCCACCACTTGGAAAAGGCCCGGGCCGGAAGAATACCGGCGAATCTTTAATAATAATAATAATAATAATAAATTCCAACAATACTTTCGCAAGGTAAACAAAATAATAATAATTATAACTATAATTTTTAATGGTGTGGACGGGTAAACCAGTAGAAGGCTTCGATCAGGTGACCAAAACCTCCTGCTGCGGGTCATCATATGACTGAGACCCGCGTCAGGAAACACCTGTCCTGTTTCCTGATGAACTTAACCTAACGTGTGGTAAGGTAACCATGGCACTAACTCACCGTGTGGCTGGTAGACAGAACCGTTCGCACCGGTGCTGGAGACGGTGACATGGGCGGGGACACTAGAACCTTTCTCATTGTAGGCGGTGATAATAAGATCATACTTGCGTCCAGCCTGCAGTCCCTCCACCTGTACAACAACGCACAATGTTATTACACACAGTGTGCCATGTGTGTTTACAGATTAACATTAAAAATAGTTATAATTATAGTTATAATTTTTAAAGGGGTGGATGGGTAAGCCAGTGGAAGGCCTCGGTCAGATGACCAAAATCTCCAGCTGCTGGTCATCCTATGACTAAGACCCGCGTCAGGAAACACTTATCCTGTTACCTCACTTATGTGTTCAATATTAAATGGGTCGTCTAAATGATTCAGACCCGTGTCAGGAGACGCCTTTCCTGTCCTCTGTCGAATATTATATAAAACCATACCACGGGTGGGGATAGAACCCGCGATCAGAGAGTTTCAAAACTCCAGACCGTCGCGTTAGCCACTGGAGTTTTGAGACTCTCTGATCGCAGGTTCTAACCCGGCCCGTGGTATGGTTTGTTTGCAATCGTGTCATTACGAGTTCGTAAGTCAATATTATATGATTTAGTATATTTTAGAATACCTACCATTATATATATATATATATATATATATATATATATATATATATATATATATATATATATATATATATATATATATATATATATATTATATATGCGTGTGTGTGTGTTTAGGGCAGAGGCGAGACCAACACAACTGTAAAATAAGAATGCTTTTCAAGGTCGCCCATGTGTAAAGATCGCCCATACGGCTGAAGGAACCTCTTCCCTTCCATGTAACTGGAGAGGCTTACCTCCCACACCATCAACGTGTGTGTGGGTGGGCGAGTGTGTGGAAGGGCGAGTGTGTGGGTTGGCGAGTGTGCGGAAGGGCGAGTGTGTGGGTTGGCGAGTGTGTGGGTTGGCGAGTGTGTGGGTTGGCGAGTGTGTGGGAGGGCGAGTGTATGGGTGGGCGAGTGTGTGGAAGGGCGAGTGTGTGGGAGGGCGAGTGTGTGGGGCGTCGCTGCTGCTGCTTCAAATTCCCACACATCGATTAGCCTCTGTGTGTGGGGGGGATTATGGTGGGGGTTGGGGTGGGGGTGTGTGTCTTGGGGGAAAGGAGCTTGGCTACTGGAGTAGTGTTTCTCTTACTCAGCGGACGGAGGATCGAACCTGCACTGCTTCTTGCGCTGAGTGGCCCACATAGGTTTAGAGCTTCACTTGTATTAAAATGATTGGGGGGAGAGGGTGAGACGGTCAGTAGGATGATATTCTGTGTGCTCTCCCCCGAAGAAGTGCACACAGTGTATGGGGTGCACTGCTGTAGACGGTGTCTGTTTAAGACGGTGGTGTCTGCTATAGATGGTGGTGTCTGCTGTAGACGGTGGTGTCTCCTATAGATGGTGGTGTCTGCTGTAGGCGGTGGTGTCTGCTGTAGGCGGTGGTGTCTGCTGTAGACGGTAGTGTCTGCTGTAGACGGTAGTGTCTGCTGTAGACGGTAGTGTCTGCTGTAGACGGTAGTGTCTGCTGTAGACGGTAGTGTCTGTTGTAGATGGTGATATCTGCTGTAGATGGTGGTATCCAGTGTAGATGATGGTATCTCCTGTAGATGGTGTCTACTGTAAACGGTGGAGTCTGCTGTAGACGGTGGAGTCTACTGTAGACGGTGGAGTCTACTGTAGACGGTGGAGTCTACTGTAGACGGTGGAGTCTACTGTAGACGGTGGAGTCTACTGTAGACGGTGGAGTCTACTGTAGACGGTGGAGTCTACTGCAGACGGTGGTGCCTACTAACATAGCTACGGATGTATTGCATGATGATCCGTATCAATTTACTAATGTTACACAATACCAAACAGTCGATGAATAAGACAATAAGTCAATAAGACACATGTAACAGCAGCTCTTGGGCTATCTCCAATGGCCAGACATTTCGCCCGCGCGATAGCCTTCTTCAGTCGAATGACAGACCCACACTCGACTGAAGAATGGCCCTGTTAGTCCCCTAACTGGCCAGGCCTGAGCGGCCGCTTGCTGCCGGAGGGACTGAGGCAGGACTGGTGCTTGACAGGTTAATGGTGCAGCTAGCTCCAAGATGATGCCATTTATGTCAGTGGGACGTGAGCTGCACCACAACACTTTCAACAACACTGAGGAGGAAGTTAATGTCTGCTGGTAAGGAGAGAGAGAGAGAGAGAGAGAGAGAGAGAGAGAGAGAGAGAGAGAGAGAGAGAGGAGAGAGAGAGAGAGAGAGAGAGAGAGAGAGAGAGAGAGAGAGAGAGAGAGAGAGAGAGAGAGAGAGAGAGATGGGTTACAACAATTACGGTTCCTCTTTAATCAAGGTCGAAGGACAAATTTTGTTTAAAGACGCACATAGAGTTGAGACTTCCGCGAGGTAGAATGTTAGTCTCGCCTCTCAGGGCTTCAGGGACATGCTAAGCGGTCCAACCCTTAATCCCCTGACCGTTGTTGCGCACTACGACAGTCAATTGAATTCTTGATCATGGCGACGACACTTGCTACCGAGGGAAGACACTAACCCCCTGGGGCCAAACGTCAACAATTTGCTAACCTCTGTCGCGCCAAACAGTTGGGTAATCGACTGTGAAGCTAAAATGCGAAACGTCTGGGTTTTTACGTTCACGCTTTCTGAGTCTCCTGTGGTCGAAACAGCGTCTCACATTTTTGTCTGTATTTTGCCTTTTATTCGTGTTAAAGTAACTTTTACAATTTATTTAAGTTAACCCAACTTAATCTAATTTTAATTAGTATCTATAGAAAAAAATGACTTCAATGGAGTGGAAGAGGAACATAAAAAAATATATATTACCACAGAAACTCTCAAAGTACAAAATAAAAATGAGCTTGGGATCGAATCTGTGTCCTTCGCTTTGCGAGAGGAAGGAAATCTGACCACAAAGAAACGAGGGGGATATAAAGAGACGAACTCACGAGGAAGGCCGGGGAGGAGGCCGTGAGGTTGAGGAGGTGGTGACCGTCATGTTGCCTAGCCTGCAGCAGAAATCTTTGCAGGAGGCCACCGCTGCCTCCAGCCACACACTTCACTCTGACGGAGGTGCGTGTCCTGCCTCCCACCGTGCAGTTACCTGGCGCCTCCGGCTTTCCTGTAGACCACGAGATAACCTGTTAGTGGCCGCCTGATCCAGGTCTCAGACCAGGGCTTCAGATGGAAAGGAAATGGTCTAGCCCAGGTGTTACAGTAACTACATACAACAGCTAATGAAATATTATAGTAATGGCGTATTGGGGGTAATAATACAGGAAATAACAGTATTACTGCATACGGGAGGAGGGAGCGGGAAAGACAGTGATAAAATGAATGATGGTGAATGCGTTTTCTTCTTTGGGTCGCCCTGTCTTGACAAGACACAGACGTTGATGTAAAATAAAATGAATGGTAATAATAATAATAATAATAATAATAAATAGTAAAAGTTATAAATAGCATATTATTTACGCTGGTTTAAAATTTACACTATATTAAGAACTCACTATAAATACTTCTATCTGAAAGTTATATGACTGGAAATTAAGACCCGTGTCAGGACTCCGGTCTTGGCGCACATTAAACAAGTTATTACATAACTAAGATCCGCGTTAGGAAATACTTGTCCTATTTTCATGACAAACCTAATACCTATATACCAAGAAATTACCACGAAAGGTTAAGATTCGTTTCAGGATGGAGAGACTTTTAAAAGTTATGAGTACTTGCTACCTAGACCCGTGCCGGGTTCCACAGGGTGAATAAATCACGTAATTTACGTGAATAAATCACGTACAGAAAGTCACGGGATAAACACTCATAGATGTGGATGTCTCAGTGTATGTATGTGTATGTTCAGAGTTTAATCCCTGTTTTAGGGATTACACTCTGGTGGTGGTGGAATAGGCTACATGTTGTCTTTAATGATATTAGTGTGGACGATAGGCTGGAAAACCCAGTTAATCAACCAGCTAAACTTCGTGTCACAGCACTGCCAAGATATGTGAGTTTTCGTCAGACATACCAGGGTGTATTATAAGTCTTTCTCTAGTTTAGCAGGATTCATAGGTATCCCTTTATACCAAAACACCTGGAAACTAATACCTGAGAACTAACACCTGAGAACTAACACCTGGGAACTACACCGGGAAACTAATATCTGAGAACTAACACCTGGGAACTAATACCTGGGAGCCAAAACACCTGGAACTCACCTGCAGGCACAATATGGAAGACGCAGGGTTCCCTCTGGGTGCCTATCTCGTTGGAGGCCCAGCAGAGAAGCGTGCCGTAGTCCAGGGAGGTCATCGGGGTGTAGGTGATGACGCTGTGGCTGCTGGAAGAAGTGAAGCGTCCTTGAGGGACGTCGATGGTGTCGGCTGTGTTGTTGAACGTCCACTGGAAGGTGGCCTGCAGCGGGTTGGCCTGCACAGAACAGGTCACCTCCGCGTCCTCGTTGCGTCCCACGGGGTAGGTAGTGACCTGCCCAGGCGCACACACTGGGGCATCTGTCAACGAAGTATACCCTACCATGAGAGAACTTTTTCTTTGAATTAACTAGCGAACTAGCTAGGAGTTATGGAGGCTCGATCTTCTGATCGCTAACATTCTATTTCTGCTGTGTATTGGGTAGGTCATCCTGAGAGAAGGTAATTCCCAAGTATTAAATAGAAAGGCACAATACCGTTACTGGAACAATACACAAGTAACCCGCACATAGGAGACAGAAACTGATAACGTTTCGGACCGACTTGGACCATTAATTAGTCACAGTGTATGACTAGTTAATGGTCCAAGTCAGACCGAAACGTCGTCGTAAGTTCCTGTCTTCTATGTGCGGGCTGTGTATCCAAGGAATAGTACTATAATTCCAGTCCTGCTGGAAGGACACTTCCGAAGCTGCCACAGCTGCTGAACGTTTACTGGAATACAGGGTGTTTCAAACACCCTGTACTCGACGATATCCTCATCACCGTACTGGAGTTCCCTGCTCAGGCTGATAGACTTCAACGCTATTTATGTAACTCATCTTGTGGTGTGATGGAATATGACAGAAACATAACTGAAGTTCCCACTACAGCACATTGCTGATGTATCCTGTGTTTTATTTCCCCGCTACCGCGGCCCTGTAGAGGCGTGAAGAACCTGCCTAGTATGGCCCAGTAAGTCTGCTGCAGTGTTCCTCCTTTCATATGTTCTTACGTCTGAGAAAATGTCCTGAAAGTCCGTCTTGTTCTCCTGTTACCTTCCGAAACGTTTGCGAAATAAAGATGTCGAAATGTTGCACATGGGTCTTATCTGCTGAGTATCACTGGAAACACATCGTCACACCTGAAGACAAGTCTCCAGGCTTATACAAACCAGTGATCCTTTTGCCTAAAGCATTTCCCTCTCCCCATGATCAATAGTTGTACCTTCCTACATCTCTTCCTCTCCCCATGATCAATATTTGTACCCTCCTACATCTCTCCCTCCCCCCATGGTCGATAGTTGGGTCCTCCTTCATCTCTCCCTCTCCCCTTGATCAATAGTTTACCGTCAGTCGTTATGTATGCACAAGTGCTGCTGTGAAAGGAGATAAAAAGATGATGTGAATATCTCTGCTAAACTCAAGACCCAGTGACATTACTCAGTAAAAAAATAAAAAATATAAAAGCCAGAAAAAAATATATATCCGAATTAAAAACACAGACGAAGGAATTATCACAAAGACTTCAACAAAGCCTTTTCATTTTAAGTTCAGACTCATTTTATTTATCTCTTACATTTATTTAGTTTACGTTCAGACTCATTTTAAACGTGTATTTTTCACCCTGAAGTTCTCTAATTCGCCAGGTTGTCCTTTATGACAATACTGATCTAGGAAAGCGACTATAAATGCAGCTTCGTGTCTCCACGAGAGCGAGAATCGTCCTTAACGTATGACGAATAAGAGTGTTTATCCCAAAATTTCACCCAAAGCATTAAAAAATATCTTGTAGCCATTCCTCAGTGATGCTGCAGCCTTCATCCACCTCCACCCGTCGGCCATAAACAATAGGGTGACCAGTTAGCCTATTGGTAATGGCCTCTAAAACCCTGAGATATATGAGGGAAAATACAAATCTCATCTACTTTGACACTGCTTCCAGTATACACACACACATGACTCTCCACCCGACGTGCAGAAGCGACACTGTCTCGAGGCAGCCATGACTGCAGGATCCGGTGGCTTCAATCTCCGCAAGCTGTAAGTTAGACCTGCCTAGCATGGGCCAGTAGGCCTAAAGCAGCATTCCTTTGTTCTCGTGTATATCAGGTGTCACATGAACAGGTGACTCACCTGCTGACCTGTCCCGCCCTAATCTCCCACCTAATTCACCTGACCTATGTTCACTATATGTTCTGTGTGTATTTTTTTTTTGCATGTTGTTTACAAGATCGATAAAGTCCCCAGGTGGGCGAAATATCTATTGAAATTTTCTGTGTTGTACACTTGACTTTATTTTCCCACCAGTTTACTTGTAGACTACCAGCTTACCTACAGATTATCAGCCTACCTGCAGACTACCAACCTGCCTTCAGACTACCAGCCTACCTACAGAATACCAACCTGCCTGCCGACCCCCAGCCTACCTGTAGACTACCACCCTGCCTGAAGGCCACCATCCTACCTGCAAGCCACCAGCCTACCTGTAGGCTAACAGAACAGGTAGTAACAATCCTCTTACCCTAATTCTCACAACATCCTGACCATGGAACATCTCCTCCCCCCCCCCAGGTCTCAACATTATACAAATGAGTGTCGTCCTCTCGTTCCAAAGCTTTTTTGTCCGAATTACTATCATCATCGGGACTCCTCAATGGTGCTTCAAACAGCTTACTACGTAGTTTTTCCTTTTTGTCGAAATGAGTCAACAAGGTTTCGTTATATTTTAATAAGGTAATTAGAGTAATTAATGTCAAGAACTGCAATTATCTCGGTGTAATTGTATCTTTGCGCTATGTAACGGTTCTGCGTTTCCAGGCGAGGATTTAATTAGTTTTTGCTTTAAGGTTATATATATATATATTATATATATATATATATATATATATATATATATATATATATATATATATATATATATATATATATATATATATATATATATATATATATATATATATATATATATATATGTATGTATTTTTGTGAATGTTTGGCCAATGTATTTTGTCTTTAAATAAAACATACTTGAAATATAGGGGGTGGTAGCAGAAAATTCTCAAACAGCTTCAGGGAGAACCTTGAGTTTTCCCTGAAGCGAGTTTATTCTTTTCTCTGAGGATGAGGGTCCCTATGACAGTTCTAGAGGTGGTACCTCCCTTATATTATATATATATATATATATATATATATATATATATATATATATATATATATATATATATATATATATATATATATATATATTATATATATATATATATATATATATATATATATATATATATTTTTTTTTTTTTTTTTTTCAACAAGTCGGTCGTCTCCCACCGAGGCAGGGTGACCCAAAAAAAAAGAAAGAAAATCCCCAAAAAGAAAATACTTTCATCATCATTCAACACTTTCACCACACTCACACATTATGACTGCTTTTGCAGAGGTGCTCAGAATACAACAGTTTAGAAGCATATACGTATAAAGATACACAACATATCCCTCCAAACTTCCAATATCCCAAACCCCTCCTTTATATATATATATATATATATATATATATATATATATATATATATATATATATATATATATTATATATATATATATATATATATATGAACATTAAAATGGTATAAAATACCGACAGGTTGTTAGGTAAGACACATATGCAACAGTTAGGTATCTTTATGCTCTTCTCCAGACTGAGGGACTGACCACCTCAAAACTTTAAGGGTGATGGACTGATTACATCGTCTTCAAGTCTCTTCTGCTTCTATCAACTTTTCTGTACTCGACGGAAGAAGCCTACTGTGTAGGCGAAACGTTCCGAAATAAAGATACCTAACATATATATATATATATATATATATATATATATATATATATATATATATATATATATATATATATATATATATATATATATATATATAAATATATTATATTTCGTAAGTCTGTTTTTCACGCTTTTTTGTTATTTCCTTTACGTTTTCTTCAATCAAGTATCTCCCTCTCATTTTCTCTTCTCCTTTCGCTTTCTCTTGCTACCTCCTGCTCCCCCCTTTCTCTCTCTCCCTCCTTCCTGTTCCTCTTTGCCTCCGTTCAACCCCTCTTCCTCCCTCCGCCCAGTATCATACGCGCCGGGAGACGCTAGTGGTCCGCCCCGCACCACGTCCAGTGTTTCTCTCTCCTGCCTGAGCTGCATGCCTTCTGTGTGTGTTTTTTGTGAGTGTTGAGTAGCATCCTTATCTCCAGCAGGATGGCCCATGTGAATACATCTCCACGGCTGACACCCGCGTCAGGAGGAAGTGTTTGGTTACATTTCTCCTTCTGACGAGTCAAATACCATCATTACCACCTGCTCGTCCTGCCCGAGGAAGTTCCATCGTCAGGAGAGATTTCCTCACCGAGTGCTTCTGTCAGAGTATCCAGCTCCTGCGCTAATCCCATGAATAATATGCGAGTTCAAATTAGAAGCGCTCAGCAGACGGAGAATCGAGCCAACAGCACGTCTTGCGCTGAATGACTCACGTGGGTTCGGCCCTTAACAGATTATTTTGTTTATTTTTGTGCTAACCCCACACGGGATTAGTCCAGTAGAGCTAATCCCTTAATTAAGGGCGAAACAGCGCGATAAGGTAATTGCTTCAGGTGTAATTTGATAATGGTTCAGGTAGAACCGAAACGTCATCTAAGGTGTATATCTCTGTATATACACCGAGAGGAGCATCTCTGTATATACACCGAGAGGTATATGTCTCTCAGCATATATACACCGAGAGGTATATGTCTCTCAGCATATATACACCGAGAGGTATATGTCTCTCAGCATATATACACCGAGAGGTATATGTCTCTCAGCATATATACACCCTGTGATGTATGTCTCAGTGTGTATACACTGAGGGTATACTTTGATCCACACATTAGGTGTTAAAATATTCGTGAATTGTGGTGTACAGGCGGATATGTAGTCGTCATGACCTCCCTCGTGCAGTCGATACATGTTAAACGTAATAAACCATTCGGTCAGCCGAGTTTATATTCTTGCCCCGGGGCAAAGAGTGCTGTAGACTCGATTCTCCGTTCGCTAAAAGCTAAACACGCACGTACCGGTATACCAGACTGGGCTATATTGACTACTCAGAAGAAATCTTCCTTCTTAGGATACTGAGTACGGCTTGTATGCCCCTGATGTATTCTTTTTGTATTCATTATGAATGGGCGTATACATGAGTAGGGAGAGTATGATGCTATGTAAGATTTTTTTTTGTAGTTCAGGGGTATTGTAGGTAGTTATTTCTCAGTGATTTTTACCTTTGTGTGAATGAACGAAACTACTCCTTAAAGTACTATTCTCTTACTAGTGTTATTGGTAATATTATTACTGCAGCTGCTGCTACCACTGCTATTACTATTGCTACTGCTGTTATTACTGCTAATATTACTGCAGATGTGTGGAACAATCTTCCGAGTAGGGTCATACAGGTTGGGTAGCTTTAAAAAGAGTTTGGACAAATATATGAATGGGAGGCTGGGTTTGATTGGTGTCTGGAGTACAGAAGCAAATTCCTGTGTAGCATCAATAATAATAATAATAATAATAATAATAATAATAATAATAATAATAATAATAATAATAATAATAATAATAATAATAATCTTTATTCTATATGTATATGTACAAGGTATACTGGCCTAGTTGACAATGACATAGTACTAAATAGAAAGCTCCTTATTTTGTAGACCATTTCGGGTAAATTATGTGAATTTTGTCTCCAGGATTCGACCCTCACTAGTCGACTAACACCCAGGTACTTGTTTTATTGAAAGGTGAACATAGAGAGCAGGTGTCTTAAGGATACACGTCCTAACGCTTGGGAAAATGATGGAAAAATACATGGATTGTCTTGATAAGGACCTGCCTTGTATGGGCCAGAAGGCCTGCTGCTGTGTTCCTTCATTCTTACATTCTTATGTACTACTACTACTACTACTACTACTAACAACACACACTACTATACTTACATTTCACATCAAGTCTGAGAAAGTTAGAGCTGGCGTCTCCCACAACATTATGGGCGTGACAAGAGTACCTGCCAGCGTGAGCCCTCACCACACGCTGGAGCACCAAGCTCTGGTTGCTGATGATCACTCCGCTGGTAACGTTGTGTACCAGCACCTCGTTCTGTAGCCAGGGCGAGGGGTACATGTCATAATATAGGTCATAAAAGTTCAGAGTCATAATACAGCTTCAAACTCACAAATACAAACAAGTTCAAAGTCTCAATAAAAGTCATAAAACGAGTTACAGTGCACGACAACACAGCACTCACAAG